TGGTGCGGTGCCCGGGCAGGCCCGGCTCGTCCAAATAAAAAGGCGGCGTGTGCCGCACGTCCCGGTGCGACGGTATGCCTGGGGGCTTGGGGGAGGCGCGCCAGGAGCGTGTCCCTCTCGGGACGAGGTCCTGCTGGGGAACGGGCTTCTCGCTAGGAAACGGAATCCCTTTAAATTTCATAGTATTTGGTAATATTAAAATAATTGCCCGTAGGCAAGCACAGCTTTTTTTTTTTTTTTTTTTTTTTTTAATGTAACGTGCAGGAGGAGAAAAAAAAAATCTTGTAAGAAACAGCAAATAAACCACACCCTGTTTGCTTATTCAACTGCCTTTGCTAGAGCCAGGGTTTTGCGCTGTAAGTCAGAAACGGCTCCTTAAAGAACACACATCACTGAAATGAAACTCGGGCTTTAGTGTGAACGCGTAGTTTTTGTACAGACCCATATGGGATGTATTGTTGCAAGAGTGAAAAAGCCAAACTATTTGAATAATTAACTGCAGTGAAGGAAAAAAATAAATTTATTGCTTTTATTTGTATTTTTGCCAGCATTTACTTCTTAAGGTAACTCCAGTAATGCAGTGATTGGCCATACAGCAGATTGACTTAACAGCAGATTTAGGAGCTCGTTTATCCCTGTCTATGCTAAAGAGTCTTTCTAGTTCTTAAGAAACCCATATCCTAGCTCTTCTCAAATAGCAAGTGTAGTACAAATCTTTCCTTTGTGTTACTTACTAAACAGAGCCAGTATCTGACACACATGAAAACAAGGATCCGGAGCACTTTAGAGACAGAAGGACCTCGGGATATTCCTCTTGGCAACCTCCTCTACAACATCAAGTGTATCTACTCCATCCTTGGCAGATGTTTGCTTAAATTCTTGTGAAAACATCCATGAAGGAGATTCCGCAGTTTTCTGTAGTAACCTCTTACAACACTTCTCCTCATTGCTAGGGAGCGTTCTCTGTTTGCTCGGGCAGTGCAACAGTTTGCCTACGGTGGCTGTGGAACCTCCTGTTTCTGAGTATTTTCAGTGATTGGACAAAGGATTGCAGAGTATGGCCTGTACACACTGGATCCCGCCTCAGTGCAAGCAATTGCTCTAAGTCTCTCACTACATTTCCTCACATTGCAAAGTACCAAAGTGTGATTCTGTGCAGCTCCTTAATTTAGAAGAGGTAATGCGTTCATTCAAGCACTTGTGAAAAGCTCATTAAATTAAATCACTTCTAGTCTGGTTTTGTTATCAGGCTTCAGTGTTTGGTCTGGTATAAAATAAAACCAATCAGGTTTTCATCAGAATAAAATCAGAATACAGAGTAACAGCAGGAAAAAAAGAGAGAGAGAACTCATTCCTCTTAACAAAACTGACCTATATATTCACAAATTGACCTATGACCAAAAAGAAAAGCAGTGCAGGAGAAAAATAACTGTTTGGCTGTTTGCATTTCAAGGCACACTGTAGGAATTACAAAACTATCCAGCTGAAAACACTGATATGTTATGAAGATATTTATTAGTTCTTTGTTTATCATGTTCTTGTATCTGTCAAAACATGTCCTGCCGTATTTAACTGAATTACTACGTTACATTTTCTTCACTGTGCCATTAAAGAAGTACATAAGATTTTAGGAGAAATCAGAACAAAGATATTACAAAAGTACTTTTATAATGTGCAATGAACCAAAGAGATTAATGTAAAAAAATTAAATATTAAGGTATTATTAACAGTTACAGGTAAGTAAAATACTACATATATGTAAAATCAAGACTTACTAACTTTAAGGCCCTTTATTTCCATACTTCTAAGTCTGTGACTATGAGAATTATTATTCAGTAGTAATGTAAGATTGAATGTCCTCAATTTAAACATTTTATGTAAAGCTGCAAGGAAAGCTAACTCTGCTATTATCTTTAAGAATTATGGTATTAAATATTTTAAGTAGAAAGAGAACTGATAGATAGACTTGATACCCAGTATCTTCTTGGCAGAATCCCAGTCTTTCCCAAGTTCAAGTCAATAGCAAATGGATGGAAATCTCCTCTCAGCTCTTCTTACTCACTCTATTGCTATCTTGATCAACTCAAAAGCCCAATGAACACCACTGTGTGTAGAAATGAAGTTTTATTATAATAAAATGTTGTAAATCCACCAAAGGAGCAAAAAGATAATGATTTCTTCTAACTACTTATTTGAAAGACAAGATTCTCTGTAGGACAATAATCCAGCCTGTATAAAATATCATCTGATGCAGAAAACATCATCATCTGAGCCACCCTGTCTTTTTAGAATCTTCCACCTGGGAATTATGTAGGCTCATAATTATTACTCACATTTATTTGTACAATTCCAATCACTGCAGTGAAGTACTATGCATTTCATAAAGGCAAACTTGACTCCTCCTTTGTACATTCACGTATGTTAGAATTGCTTTCATCCAGCGGTCAATGCGATTTTATTTGTATTCCTGACTAGAGTGGCCAAAGTGATATAACTAATTTTTCCTTCTGTCAAGGAGTTTCAAAAGAGGGAGGAAGATTTCCAGGGCTCTCCTGAATTTATCCCATTTTTTTTCACTTTTACCTCCGTTTCTTAATCCCATTCCTACATGACCTGTAAAGTATGAAGCGTGTAAAGCTTCCCGTTTTGGCACAAGTAATCTGCTGGTGGCTGGGGCAATCCAGATTCACTGGAGGCCTATTCCTTCATGCTTCTTTTAAGACCTTGGTATTTCCTCGATACCAAAAAACTTGCCAGCTGATAATTGTTCACTTCACCCCCAAAGAAGGGGAATTTCCAGAGGCAGGGGCCCTGTAGTCAAAAGATAATAGAGCACTGGGACATACAGAAGGGAAGGTGCGGGGTTCAGAATGAGCCAGCACCAGCATTCCCCATAGCTAAAAAGAAGGGTGAAAGTTGTGCTGTGAAGAACCATCTGCTCTAATAATTTCAAAAGTCTTGTCCAGAATATTCCATGGTGTATGCTTGTGAAGAACACCAAGCCATAAATATAATAATAAAAAAGGGTGCAGGCCAACAGGCATAAGTTACATGAAGAAAAAAATCCAGGAGAATTTTTTTCCTAATTTCTAAAATAAGTGATATTAAACACTGGAAAAAGTTGCCCTTAAAGAAGTTGAGGTTGATGAATCTCCATCCTTAAAGATATTTAAAATTCAGCTGGGCAAGATCCTGAACAACTTATCCAACATCTGAGTTGGCCCTCCTTTAAGGAAGAGATGACCTCCAGAGGTCATATTCAACCTGAATTATTCAATGAATCTAATAAGAAGTATAAAATATCTTTTACTACTTCTATACTTCTCAATTTTTGTATCGTATTTTGCAAAATATTCCTTCTTCCATCTGCCCTCTTAAAAGAAACCATGTGCCACCAATATGATTAATACCTTCCATTCCCTTTTCTACAGCCATATCTTGTAGTATAGTCATTGACTCTTCCTAATGAAATTAATCTTCTGTATGTTGATAAGGTTTACATTAGTACATTAAATTATAAGATTTTATTTAAAAGCACACCTCAAATTAGATGAATCATCCAGTTTCATCAGTGTTTTGAAAACTATCCCTTTCAATTCCTCTGTGCAGCGTATGAACTGTAGCACAAGAAGAGTAGCAATCAACTGCAGTAGCTTTTCTATTTGGTCCTAAGGAAGAAGAAAAGGGAAGCGGCATTACTATTTAAATGATTTCTTGACAACAGAAAAAGTACTTTCTGCAAAGTACTCCATATCACTTTAAAACATCAGTTGTCCTAATGCTATTTAGTTGTTTCACCATACAATCACTACTGTCAAGAGTATTCACATTAGTGATTTGACCAACATGCTCCCAGCTTTCAAACTTAAACTTGGTAATACTTTGTTGGGATTTCTGCGGTTTGTGTTTGCTTGGGTTCTAATCCACTTTGATTTTAATACATGCAATAATGGGAAACTTGCAAGATTTTTGTCCTTTACTAAAGTATTGTGCGCTCTTAATAATTTATAAAAAAAGGAATTGCCTTTTTCCTCCCCAAGTTTTCTGGTCTGCTGCCAGCAAAGAGCACCAATTGACAGAATCAAACAGCGAAGTGTGCATAGGCAGAGTGCTGCAGACAGTGTGTGTGTGTGTATATATAAATACCATTCATATTATTTGAAATGTCAAAAGCAGAAGTGATTTTTGCCTCTCTCCTAGGAGACACTTTTCTTCCCTTTTTTCCTTAGTAGATACTAATATAGCAGATAGAAGAATTGAGATAAAAGAACCTCTGTTGCTACTCCGACTATGTCACATCCTCCACATATTTCTCCAGGAGATGTGCTTACCAATCAGGACACTATATTGTGAGAGAAGTTGAGAAAAAACTGTATTATTAAAATCAGGCACTTCTGAAAACTTTAAGTTAAGATATCCATTTAAATTCTGAGCATATCTTATAGCGAGTTCCACTAGACATGCAGTGTAATAACACATACAGATAGGAAATATAAGACAATGTACTGCTTTTTAATGATGGAGAAGTATTTACCAAGTGACTGAATGCCTTTTCTAATAAGGAAATTGTTAATTAAATAGTAAACATCAAATTTCAAGATTTTTCCCAACTGTGGACTGAGATTCCAAGAGCCATCCTACGGAATAAACAAAGATATGGATAAGCCAAAGATTCAGGACACTGAAAATATATTTGCCAAGAACAAAATAGACATAGGAGAATTACTTCAAATATTTTTTAGAAGCTAACACAAACACAAAAACTGAAATCCACATAATCAATTTAGGTGATTCAAATGTTAAACTTCAAAACCCTTTGATACACCATCAAATTTCTGCAATTGACCTGGAATCTTGTAGTTAGCTTACCTTGTAAAAAATGCTTAAACAGTAAGAACAAAGTAATTTTGAAATCACTCCCATATAAAGTATGCACAATGCCTTTTCAAATTTATCTCAAACAATTTTGAAAATTATTTTTAAAGGTGCTAAAAAATAAGCATTCCTCTTACTCAGAAGAAACAATAAAGGAACCCTGTCCTCTGCTGAGAATGCAAAGTCTCTATAAAATTATTAAGTTTACTATGTATGTTGTTAAATGCAGTATTAACAAAACCAATCCTATTTTATCTCACTTTCTCTGCTAAAAATTAGACAACCCTCATGATTAAAATTATCTGCCAAATGGTTTGCTACCCTCAGGTCAGATGGGAGACAGGCTTTCAACAGAATGTTCAAGTACTTATTCTTCGATATTAAATACTTCTGAAACTCTACCTGTCCTTGCAGCTTTATGTTGCTTAAGAAGTTGCTTAGGGAAGCCCAGAATGCAGACACAGTCTCCATAGGAGCATGGTGAATGCTTCCTCCTTTATTCAGAGTTACAGACATATTTATACTGAGGGATGGGGTCCACGTGACATAAACAACGCTTTTATTGGTTCAACAACATTGTCCACGCACCTCTAGATACATGCTGATTGGTCTAACACACAAACACATGCGCTATCATATGCAAGCCTTGCAATTAGAGTACAACCTGGTTAGTCTGCAAGCTTTGCGATTAGAGCACATCTTGGTTAGTCTTATCAAGCACCTTTGTTCTAGTTCACAATACGTGCGAATTCCTCCTTTCAGAGCCCCAAGGACACATTGTCCTTATCAAAGCCGGGATTGTCCGTGAGATCCCATAGTATTTTATGGCCTTGTTGTTCAAGAAACTCCTCTACAGCTTTATGTCTTAGAAAACTGCAACTGTAGACACAAGTTTATAATCATTCATTTAAGGTAATTTAGAAGATAATGTATGGTTTTAAATGGATGTTTAGATAGTAATTATCCAAATTGTGTAAAAAGTGAAAATCTATAGAACATTAAGTTTAATTAGTGTAAAAATACATGAAAAACTTTTCTTTTTAAAATTCAACAATTGGCAGTTCTGCTGAAAAAGAAGAAATCTTGAACCATGCTTTGGGAGTTAATTCCCACGAGAGTCATTCACAAGTCGACAACTCTAATCCCCAGTGTATCCACATGGCATATAGTAATGGTTCAATGTTTAGAAATAATTTGATAAGTGTCCTGTCAAAAATATAGGAAAAAGATATATCTCGTCTTAATGCTGAGGTTGGCTATACTTTACTACTTTCACATACAAACTTCATATATAAATAAAGTTAATTACACACAGAACGAAGCGATGCTTAAAAAAATAGCAAGAAAGAGCCATGAAGATGCAGATACTAGGTGGACTCTGCTGCACAACAGAACATGAAGCTGGGGCACCTGGGAGACTTGGTGAATCTAGCGTACAGCATGTATTCCCAGCAAAAGGGAATTCAATGTACCACCATGCTGAATGGCCAATCTCCGCCAATAAACAACAGGAGTCTCCACTAAGGGCTTCCACGCTGGCTTCTTCACTTGGATCATGTAATACTCTTGAAAACCATCCCACCAGGGCCCATGGACTTCTGTTTGTCCAGTTTGCTTAACTATTCCTTCACCTGATGGTCTTCCACCAAGGGTATATCCTCCTTGCTCTAAATTTCCCCCCTGGTCTCTGGGGCCTTGAATTTCCAAAGGTTGGTCTTGCTAGTTAAGGCTGAGACAACAAAGGCATTCAGTACCTCAGCCTTTTCCATGTCCTGTGTCACCAGTTCCTCTGCCCCATTCAGCAGCAGGCTCACATTTTCCCTAGTCTTCCTTCTGCCACTTACAGAAGCCCTTCATGTTGTCTTTGACATCTCTTGCCAGATTCAACTCCATGTGGACTTTGGCTTTCCTAATGATGTCTCTGCATGCTCAGATAGGGTCTCTATATTCCTTCCAGGTTACCGGTCCCTGCTTCCACGGTCAGTATACTTCCTTTTTATGTTTGAGTTTTTCCAGGAGTTTCTCTTAATCCATGTTCATGTCAGGCCTCCTGGCATTTTTGCCTTCATTGGGATAGACTGCTCTTGATCTTGGAGGAAGTGATCCTTGAATCTGAAATAGTGACTATAGGTAACCCTTATAATCATTGTTGAGAAAAAGACCTCTTGAGAAAATTAATCTGAACGGGTTTAGGTATTTAACTTTAGGATGAGATGAATCAAGCTCTAGAAATATCTATTTATTTCCATTGACCATGAGGGGAAGGTAAATGTGACTGGTTTATTGACAAATGTACACACATGTATTTGGTCAAATGAATTCCCATTCTCTGTGCCCCATCTAATACTTAATCCAACTGATATAATCTGGGCTATCATGATACAGCTTTCCATTTGAAAACTCTTCTTACTGACCCTTGAATGTCAAGGTTGTCATAGAATCACAGAATCATAGAATCATTTGGTTGGAAAAGACCTTTCAAGATCATCGAGCCCAACTGTACCTGTCCTCTACTAAACCATATCTCTAAGCACCTTGTCTACCTGTCTTTTAAATACCTCCAGGGATGGGGACTTGACCACTTCCCTGGGTAGCCTGTTCCAGTGCCTGATAAACCTTTCAGTGAAGAAATTTTTCCTAATGACCAACCTAAACTTGTCCTGGCGCAACTTGAGGCCATTTCCTCTCGTCCTATTGCTTGTTACTTGGGAGAAGAGACTGACCCCCACCTTCCTACAGCCTCCTTTCAGGTAGTTGTAGAGGGCAATAAGGTCTCCCCTCAGCCTCCCTTTCTCCAGACTAAACAACCCCAGTTCCCTCAGCCACTCTGCATCAGACTTGTGCTCCAGACCTCTCACCAGCTTTGTTGCCCTTCTCTGGACATGTCACAATGTCTTTCTTGTAGTGAGGGGCCCAAAACAACACATTCGAGGTGGGGCCTCACCAGTGCCAAGTACAGGGGCATAATGACTTCCCTGGTCCTGCTGGCCACACTATTCCTGATACAAGCCAGGATGCCGTTGGCCTTTTTAGCCACCTGGGCACACTGCTGGCTCATATTTAGCTGGCTGTTGACCAACACCCTCAGGTCCTTTCCCGCTGGGCAGCTTTCCAGCTACTTTTCTCCAAGCCTGTAGTATTGCATGGGGTTGTTGTGACCCAAGTGCAGGACCCTTGGGTCCTTGTTGGCCTTGTTGAACCTCATGAAACTGGCCACGGCCCATCGATCCAGCCTGTCCAGGTCCCTCTGTAGAGCCTTCATTTATATGTATTTCTTTCCATTTGCTCCAAAGCTTTTGTTTCTCCTGCTACTGTTCTAATACTGAAAACCAACAAAAAAGTTCCATAGTTTTTCAGATTATCAAACCTCATGTTCTGTTTCATTCTCATGAAGAATCCCATCCTCATAGTCATTAATGAAAGCTCTTGCTACGAGTTTGTGCAGCACCTAGAAAGAAAACTAAACTGATGATGAGTAGTAACTTTTTTTTAATTCTTCCTTTCATTTATGAGGTCCAGCTTCAGACAATTAGCTTCCATATTTACACAAATCCCATTCTCCAAGGAAGAGTCAAGCTAATTTTCCATTTGAAAAGCAGTCACAGCCTGTACCTAAGGTACAGTTTTACTTCACTTGATTTCCAGTGAAGTACCCAGGTCTTTACTTGTGCACATTCTCTCTAGAGTCAAAGGTGAAAAAAAAAAAGCAGGCAAGCAAACAAACAGAACAACTCCAGTAGGCAATTAATCCCAACTTGAAACAGCTAACTAAATCAGGTAGGAAGAATGCCCCTTCTGGATGTACACATATTCCTTCAGTGACTGTAAACAAAGCCTGAACAACTGCCTCAGATTTAACCAACAATATCTATACAGGTGGAGTTAGGCAAATTAATCCTGTCCATAAAAATATGGAATTTAGAGAAAAAGTAAAGTGAGTCTAGAGTGTTCAACTTTAAAAAAAAATCATTAGGTCTACCATAATCAAGTAATTTTTGACCTCTGGGCCTGTATGCAGAAAAGGGAAATACTGAACTGCACTAACCAGAAATTACATTTTTGAACTAAACCAGTTTTTCATAGAAAAGAAAAACAATTTTGGCCTCTTCAATAAGTTACAGCTAACAAAGAGAAGGAGGCTTGTGGGGCCAATGTGGTAAAGTCCAGCTGTACTCCAGTTCCAATTGCCAAAACATTCCCACTGGCTCAATTTTTGGAAGAATATGATAGATGCCAAAGAGAGCCACTTCTGAAGAAAACCTCTTAAGCAAATAGCTACTTTCTGAGCTAAGGAAATTGGCAAAAGAAACAGGTAAGAATTCTCAGAGTTCATCTAAAGCATCAAGAATTAATAATTTTTTCTAATTTTAACCCTGTTTTTATCATTTTGCCATTTCAGTTTACGCTTTTCAAAACTTACTTTTTTTTAACTGCACCTGGAATTGGTAGTACAGGTATTTTTCTAAAAGCAAAATTCATTATGGCAAGCAAATACATTGCTTCTGCTTGCCAATTTTATTTGCCTGTAGAAGGGCATATCCTTGGAAAGCAACCGTCCTTATGGAAACCAACACAACTAACTCGTCCATGGAAACCAACCCATGATAGTAGCTTTCAAAGTAGATTACGCTAAATAGGGAACAAAATGATTTCTATTTGAAAACAAATCATCTTCCCTTAGTGGGGAAGGCGTGACAGTCGTATCAGAATTATTACTGAGGGTTGACTATTCTTTTGATTATTCAAGCGTAGACACCTGTTAGATTTAATAAATGGTTCTTTTTTAGCCTGTTTTCCTTTTCAAAATGGGTGCTGTGCTTTCCCTGCATAAAGACTCCTTACTTCATTGTTAATGAAGCAGAGGAAAGGCTAGTAACACTTTCTTGTCTCTTTTTCCCTACATTTCTAGAGATGACAGACTAGTGAGATGTTTCACATAGAAATTATGTACAACGTGAAAGAGAATGCTGCAGCAGCTTCTTCACAGAGGTCGCCAGAAGAACAGCCAACCCAAGGATAAAGCCAGAGCCCAAAGAGGCTGCCAAAATAAGAAGCAGCACTTCCTATTCTGAGAAACTTAAGTTTTGTGTTAGATAGCACAGAGAAAGGTGACACGTCTATGTAAAACAGCTTCCCTTTAAAAGTCTGAAAACTGAAGGTCTGTGTTAAAACATGAGAAGCAAAAATAAAAGTGCAAGAGCTGCTGAAAACAGGAGTTTCAATTCCTTCAAAAGAGCATGAAGCAGCATGTAGTTGTTCAAAGCAGCTTGTCTCACTATGGCACGTACAAATAATGGTGGTCAAACTCACTGTTCCTGTCGTCTTCTGTAGTTCAGTAGTTGACACCACAGTCTGAGGACCTTGGTCATTTATTACTGCTCTTAAGGTGGCCTCAAAGGAAAAAAAATAAAAATACTGTTTCCTTCTCTCTCATGCTATGCTACCAGCACACATTCACGCTCTTCTGTCTCCTGAATATGACTCAAATCTGTAAGTCTTTGCATGTCTAGGTTTATAAATATTTCCCCTTACAACAAGGGGACAGTCACAAGTAAAAGAATCCTGTATTTATCAAAGCACAATGATAGGAACATTAAATTAAGTAACTTTTTCCTCTCTACTTCTTAGAGGGAAGACTAATAATGACAATTAAATAGTAACATAATTATATTTAGCAATGAAAGAAAAGCTAAGTGCATGCTGCCTACAGGATATATAATACAGTATATTTCCTTTGTGATTGTTTTACATATGAGTTTCTATCCAGTAGTGCATGTGCATTCCAGTCTTTACCTGAGTACAGCGAGGGATGAATCCATAGACACGAAGTCCCTCGTTGTTAAATAAAGACTGTATTTGAGCAGGAACCTGCATTGGCTCTGGTGCATCTGTATTAAACTGTTGCCATTTCATAGAAACTGAACTGCATCCTGGAGAAAATATTCTAGACCCCTCATTCTGTATCTGTGTAAAGAAGCAAAACAAATTAGCTCTGTTTGTTAGTAGGCTTTCAAAAGAAAACAATCTCTCAATAGAAAATAACATTTCCCATGTGAATGGAACTAATTTATTTTTCTTTTTTTTTTTTTTTAAACAACTAAAACAAGCTACATGCTATTACTGGTAAAAATAAGTCTAATGTTTGGAGGTAATAAGGAGAATCACTCAGCCATTATTGTCAATAAAGTATGCCATGGCTTTCTTGTTTTCTTTTGCACATTCAGTGACCAATCTGAATAAGAAGGTAGTGCAACTACAGGGACAAATTGCTTCCCTTATCAAACAACTGAGG